GCCTTTTTCTATGTTTTATTTGGACATTAAATTTCATCCACTATATTAATGTGGTTAAAAGTTACAAATAATTTTGTTTTGCTAATATGCATTATTCGTCGAGCCTGGAAAGAGAGCCCGGCTGCCCGCCGCCACGATGCAACAACCTGAAAGATCTTAGCGAGGGTATTCTGTTTTTTCGTCGGCAAGAAATATAATTAAAGTTAAGCGCATACACCCTTGATTGGCTTGTTACACGCGTGCATGAGTGCACGTGTAGCTGCACACCGTGCTAGCTTTCTTCACGTAAGGAGCACCGACTGCTTTTTAACCACATTAATATAACGTGGATGAATTTTAATGTCCAAATAAAACATAGAAAAAGGGAAGCGTCATAGAGGAAACAAGTATATTTTTCTAACATCACATGAAACAGTGGCATACAAGGAAGCAATGCATTTTCTATAATAGGGGTATTCTGGTCATTTCGCATGGCACTTAACAGTGTTTGAATCCAAAAGTGATGGTAGTGCCACATAGGGCATTGAAATTCGAATACAGGGTCATACAAGGAATTTTGAAGTTTTTAGGGTCGTAAAAGGAATAAATGAGTTTCACAGGGCCATGCAGGTAATTCTCTCTTACTCTTATGCAAATAATTCATTTTTCCTTTTTTTTTGTTTTTCCGATTCCGATATTATTGAAGTATTGGCCGATTTTTATATGAATAATGAGTAATGAATATGTTCGTACGTTGCAACGGAAAGTGCAATTTGTTACGTGACAACTTGCGGATCAAACATTTTTTCAATGATTTTGTCATTTTAACTCGTTTTGGAACTAGACTTCGTACTGTGTCCACGTTGCTCTAATTTGTATGGATACAAGAGCCATAGAGATTTATCAATGATCACGTCATGCATTCTAATTCATCTTGAGAACAAACTTTGCAGTATATTTTAATATTATACTAGCAAATATGTTTCGGAGGTGCTCATAGGGGTAGGGTTTACGTACATGTGTTCATAGGGGTGAATGTGCGTGCATGCATATTGTGGGCATCTACATTATACTGTGTAATTCTAAAAAAAATGTTCGCACGTTACAATAGAACGATAGCAACATGTAACTTATTGCATGGTCACATAGATGATTTGCTGCTCGAAGATTTATTCATGAATTGTATCATGTATTTCAATATGATTTGGAATTGAACTCCGCACTATCGTTGGACGTGCATTATCCTAGTCATGTAAGGAACAGGGAGGGTTATTAGGACATTGTGGGAAGTCAAAACGGTTTGAAGAATCCTCTATTATCGAAAAGGATAATGAGGCCGTGGAGGGCTATGAGGACAATGTGGGAAGTCAAAACGGTTTGAAGAATCCTCTATCATCGAAAAGGGTAATGAGGCCGTTCACGATGAACTTCAAAGACGGAGGTGTTCGGAGTGCGAGAACGAGGACCCTCGATGCTTTTATCGTGGCCACTTCTCGTGGGCACTATGACCCCGACGGGCCCCGCGCCCCCGACGGAAGCATCACCCATGCCTTCAGAAGCAGTTCAACAGTAGATTTCTCTTGTATGTGCTCTGTAATTTGGGAATTCTTTTCCCACACTAGTGTAATGAGCGTTAACGTTATATATTAAAAGTTATTGTTGTAAAAAAAAGACGGAGGTGTCAAGCGTCTACCCATGAAGCCCTTGTTAATGCTGATTAACAAAGGATTTCTTACTTGCCTCTAATGTTTTTCCTATTGTTTTTAAAAACAGTGAGCCCATCTACCAGGCCCGCTGAGCCCTTCACTGCCGCCCTTGACCATCTTTTGAGTCGGAGTCCTCGAGATTGGGGAGTCCATGCCCCGGGTTTGGTGCTTGGACGACCCTCCTCCACGTTGGTAGTAGCTTTTGTTCGTAAAGTTGCACCGAATCCGCATCGCTCTCATCAGATCAGGGTAAGGAAACAAAGGCCACACAAATCAAAACCACATTGCAGTGCACAAAAAGAAAAAAAAGGATCCAACACGGCTTGCAATCGGATGACGTAGATACAAATCAACAACAAGCTCACCTGAAGGGAAAAGGTAGGGGATGGAGAGAGACCGCATGACCATCACCACACTATCGACACCTTCACATCGAGGCCCTTGTATCCATTCATCACTATGAAGGAGTGTGTCATGCCTCCATGCTTAGGTTGCCTCTATCTCCACGTTTCATTCAATGTGGCTCTTCTCCTTGCCGTGTCAAGGCACTCGACCTAGTCGTGGCTCCCCTTCCTGTGCCTCGGTGCTTCTCGCCCTCCCTGTGCCATCTTCGGTGTCCCATATGCCAGTGTCTACTTGAATGGATTTGATGACCTTGAATTAAGACTCATTGAATTAAGAGCTCATCAAAATCGGAGTAGATGAGATCCCGAAAGGAGTTTCTCTAACTTACGCCGACCATCAATATCCAAAAAGTTGGAGAGCCCTTAAATCGAAATGAAGCATTAAATATAGATTTAAAAGAAAAACTAATTGCAGAAATTACGAGACGAACGTTCCATATTTGAGGTTTGCCAAATAAAAACGAGTTTCTCTAACTTATATTATTTGTATTTAGAGACGGATTTGGGCCTAGGGTCTATAGAGCCAAGGCCCTAAACATGCTCCAAAATAGTTTTTATAATATGTGTGCCTAATTTCATAGAGCCGAGACCTTTTTTTTTTTTTTGAGAATAAGACTCTAAAAATATTTGTTACAGTACATGTGAATTTCAGGCCTAATTCAAAGTGGGCCTACACAGTTAATCGGCCCAGACTCCCGTCCCCTCCGGCCGACCCCAACTCCACGACCGTGAGCGGGAGACCCCGTTTGGCCGCCTGTTCCTCTCCGGCTCTCCCTGCCGGCTGCCGCCGCCTCAACCCAGCAGGCAGCAGCAGCCGCTGGCCGGCAACTCAGGCCCCTGTCGCTAGGGTCCGTCCGTGGCTCTGCTCCGCGGTTGGAGGCGCCGGGCGCGCTTGGCTGGGCGGCTGTCCGCCTGGCCGCAGCCGCACTGGCCGTGGCTGGTGAACCACGAGCTCCGAGCGGCGAGCCGGAGTCGGCGACACGGCATATCCGTCGCGGCGTGGGCAGGGTGCCAGCGGCCAGCCGCCAGGGCCGCAGGAGCGCGGCCGCAGCCGCGCGGTACTCGTCGCCTACTCCTACTCGTCTGAGCCCTGGTAAATTCCCCATTCTCGAATCCATTCTCCGGTTCTGCCCGATCTAAAAAATCTTTGAATGATAATTAATTAGGTCGATTTTTGTAGAGTTGCACAATGAATAGGACTAAAGACATTTAAATCTTTTTTTCTCCTGCTCCTCCAATTATACAACCAGTGTTCCGAAACCAACTTTCTACACAAGCACAATCAGAAGTAGTATATAGTAGTAGAAACACAGGTTATCAAGAACCAGCTAGCAATGCAAATGGCTTACAAAATAGGTTTAGGTTCACTTGATGAAGATACGAGAGATGAGGGAGAACCAAACCATCATTAGTGAGGTATTATTTGAACCACTTCTATGCTTCCATCAATTATGTTGTGGATTTAAGCATGGAATTGAGATATCATCGAAACTTATGCATTTATAATCTAGTTTTGTTATATTATCGGTATTAGACCCGGTGCTGATGGTATACATGCTTTGATAGTGGCCCCAGGCGTGAAAATTGACAAGCTCCACCACAGTTTGGATTCGGATCTGCTTGTATTATGCCTGCTAACTTTGATTGTTTTGCAAAAATTATCAGGTGTACATGTGTACACCCATGTCCTTTACTGGGTCCGCCCTTGGATCCTAGGCTATGCATACCAATTGAGCAAATGCATTTTATGATTTGCTGGTCCTCGGCACTATGTAGGCATTTCTTTTGTAGCTCTTGGAGATTTTATCAACTGAAATGGTCCAAATTATTGAGATGGTTTAGACATGTCCAACGGAGACCTCCAGAGGCACTGGTGCGTAGTGGAATCCTAAGCCAGGATAGTAACATGAAGAGAGGCAGAGGAAGACCGAAGTTGACTTGGGTAGAGGCAATAAAAGGAGACTTGAAAGGATGGAATATATCCAAAGACTTAGCCTTAGATATGAGTGCTTGAAAAACAACTATTCACGTACCTGAACATTGATTGCTTCTGCTGGGTTTCAACTCTAGCCTACCCCAACTTGTTTGGGACTTAAAGGCTTTGTTGTTGTTGTTGTTGTTGTGTTGTTCAATTAAGCCTACAATTGAGATGTAGTCTAAATCTTGCATCTTTTATTTGCTACTCCCTCCATTACAAATTATAAGACGCTTTGGCTTTTTTAGATACGTAGTTTTTGCTATGTACTTATATGTACTCTATGTCTAGATACGTAGTAAAAGCAATATATCTAGAAAAGCCAAAATGTCTTATAATTTGGAACGGATGGACTATGGTTATCTGTCCTAGTTTAGGTGGTTTAAGCACTTAGGTCTTGGCCCTAGGCTTGCAGATTTGCCAGCTCCATCACTGTCTCTAGTGAGTTCAATATGATGTCTATGGAGCACACTTCACATTGGGATGAAAGTGTTGGACCAATCCCCTAAAAAAGATTGAAATTCCTACCATCTTGCCACATAAGCTCAAATTTCCCATGTTGAGCGAGGATTCTCCAACCTGAACTTCACTTTGTGCTTTATTTGGAGAGTGTCGTTACTATGAATGTGGTGACAGCAACCTCTTTATTTTGCCTTTTACATTAGATGTTCCCTGTGCAGTTTGATTCCTGAGATGCAAATAGTAGGCTATTGACATGGATGAGAATATAATTTTGACTCTTTTTTTTTTGCAGAATTTAAATTGCAACGTGCTGCTTCTTTATATGCACTTCTGAATGCTTGGACCTGGTGTGACCACATAGCTTGGTATTCATTTCATAAATGATGGAAAGAAGATTGGGACAGCATGTATATTTGATTCCCAGAATTCTTCCCTTTATGCAACTGAATGCTATGTCCTCATTCTCAGCTGGCCATGGACGCCGACCCAAGAAGAAGCTATATCACCGTGAACCTGGTCTTGACAAGGCCATGGATCTTCAAAAGAAGCCTGCTCTTCTCCTTCATCTGCGTGACCTCATTTTGGCACAAAAGACAGGGTCACTACTTGTACGTGACCTTGAAAAGGAGGTTGGCTTTGTCCAAAAATGGAGCTTTCTTTCACTTATCGAGCGCCACCCCAATATCTTCCATGTCTCTGGTGGAAGTGCTTCCCGAGAGCCCATTTCTGTCACACTTACAGAAGAAGGCCAGAAAGATATCCAGTGAAGAGGCTGAAGCGCGAGAGCTAATGGAGCCAATCTTGGCGAGAAACCTTAGGAAGTTACTGATGATGTCGATGGACTGCCAGATTCCTCTGGAGAAGATTGAACTAATCCAGTCTGAACTGGGCTTACCTAAGAACTTCAAGAGCAACTTGATTCCAAGGTACCCTGATTTTTTCTCAATCCGTGATGTGAAGGGACTGGACCATTTGTGTCTGGAGAATTGGGACTCTTCACTAGCAGTCACAATACGAGAAGAAAAAATGAATTTTGAGGGTTTCCAGATAGGCCGTAGAGGGATTCCTAAAGATGGAAATTTCTTGGGTCCTTTTGCTTTCAAGTTGAAGTATCCAGCAGGATTTAGGCCAAACCGGAAGTACCTTGAGGAGGTTGTCAGGTGGCAGAAAATGGCATTTCCTTCACCTTATTTGAATGCTAGGCGAGTCGAGTCTGCAACACCACAGGCACGAAAGCGTGCCATTGCTATTCTGCATGAGATTTTGAGCCTGACAATGGAGAGGCGGTTGACATCTGATAAGCTAGATATATTTCACAACGAGTACAGGCTTCCATGCAAATTACTTCTTTGTTTGGTGAAAAATCATGGCATCTTCTACATCACTAACAAGGGAGCAAGAAGCACAGTCTTCCTCAAGGAAGCTTATGAAAATAGTAACCTTATTGATAAGTGTCCTTTACTGAAATTCCATGATCGATTTGCATCTTTGATTGGCCGACCGTGCTCCAACTCAGACAACATGCTGGCGGTATAATTGGAGTGTGGATTTACTGATCAGGAGACAAACTATAGTTGGTGCATCTGTTTTGTTGAAACTCAGGTCAGCTCATTGCACATGCAACTACAATTTAAATCCTGTGTACAGTTGCCGTTTCTCTCAGTTCAGTAGCTAAAGATAACTAAAGAATTGAAAAAGCCAGTGTCTCATCTTCAAATGTGAAGCCATCTGAGAAGTGAAGTGGCAGCTCGGCAGATTAGGCAAAATAATGCTTGTACCAGAAGTCACATCTTTATTCTCAGTTTCCCACAATTGTAGGTTTGGATCCTAGGGCACCATATGATTGACTTAGGAATGTTCTAGGATTAGCTCCTTTATGCAGCTTATATCCCAAAACAATGTTATAGTATTTGTAGCTCTTACTATCATAACATGTGGTTTGCTTCTCTTGGATTGAACCGTTCTGATAAATAATACAGTCAGATGCTCATTCATTTTAAACAGTATCATACTCTCTCCTTTTATTTTGTAAGGCGTGGTTTGACCCTGCATGGTCTCTAACATCGTGACTTGACCATTAATTTCTCATATATTATAATGTTCGTGACTATGAATTTTACATATGGAAGTGTTTTCAAAATTTCAAATATGAATTCGATAATACCAAATTTGTATGGTGTAATCTACAAAGATTTAAATTAATTGTTGGTCAAAGGTTAACAACCGTCAGCTCTCTCTGTCAGCAAACCAGTTTGATTGGAAGAGGTTATCCTGGGTTACTCTACTGATCCTGCCACAGTCCAAATCCTTGCTGAGCTTGCAATGGGTAAAACAGTTCCACACTTTACTCTTCAGCAAGCTGTTCTAAGAATTAAAGGAAGACTCTAGATTAGTGCCAATAGTGCACTACAGCTCTAGCTCATTTCTGCTCTCCATGCCAGTCCTTTGGGAGGCCACTCTGGTTTTCCAGTGACTTACAGAAGATTAAGGCAATGTTTGCTTGGCCACAAATGAAGCAGTCAGTCCATGACTTCGTCACACGGTGTCAGGTCTGTCAACAAGCTAAACCAGAGCATGTGAAGTATCCAGGGTTGCTGTTACCATTGCCAGTACCTGAACATTCTTGGCAAGTAGTCACAATGGATCTTGGTGGTTGTCAACAAACTCTCTAAAGTTGCCAATTTTCTACCATACACATCTATTTATAGCTATGACTATTGCTCAAACCTACATGCTGAATGTCTATAAGCATCAAGGGATGCCCCAAACAGACTGGGACCGTATTTTCACTAGTAACCTTTGGCAAGCCCTCTTCAATTTGGCAGGCACACAACTGAGTATGAGCAGTTCCTATCATCCTCAGTCTGATGGGCAGACTGAAAGGGTAAACCGGCGTGTTGAGACATATCTCAGGTGCTTTGTACATGCTTGTCCATAACAGTAGGGGAAGTGGCTCTATCTTGCTGAGTGTTGGTATACTACATGCTTCCATTCTTCTTTGAGGAAGTCTCCTTTTGAGGTACTATATTGACACTCTCCTTGACATTTGCTATTGTCCCTGTTTAGTGTTCCAGATCTTCAAGAATGGTTGGAGGAGCGCCAACTCATGCAGGCACTGGTCAGGCAACATCTTGAACGCGCACAGCAGCGCTTCAAACATTAGGCAGATAAAAAATTATCTGAACGTAACTTCAATGCTGGTGATATGATGGTGTTTGTCAAACTTCAGTCATGTGCTCAGAACTCTGCAGTGTCCAATCCAACTACAAGCTCTCATTTTGTTATTTTGGGCGTTTTCCTGCCAACAGCAAAATCAATGCAGTGGCATATGAAGTTCGGCTTCCTCAATCTAGTTTATCCAGTGTTTCATGTGTCCCAACTGAAATTGGCCAAGGGACCAACACACCAGGTCAATGTCACCATTCCTGACCTTGATCTAATTTGCAAATTCTGTTGTCCATTTTGGATCATTGCCTTTGACCCTTTGTTAACTTGCTCGCAAACTGATCCCTCAAATCCTTGTGCATTGGTCAACGTGGCCTCCGTCTATGGCCACTTGGGAGGATGAACAACTACTGATCGGGGCAAGCCCGTGTAAAAGGCTGGCGTTTGCAGGTGTCGGAGGTGAGCTGGTTGTTTAGGAGGGAGGCACAAGGGAAGAAAGGCAACGTTTTAGACTTTCTTAGGCATAGGCAGCGGCGTCTGGTTCTCCAGCGATGATATTGGTGGTGATTTTGGCAGCAGTGAACTTGTATCTCCACTATCATACTGTTGAGGGCCAGGTAGCCCCCGTCTTTTAACATTAGTTAAAAGACAAAATTATGCAATACAGCATAGCAGGCGGCATCCCACCTGAGAACCTGATTAACCCTTTTAGAACAAACCAGACACAGTAACGACACAACTAAAGAAAACTAAGATAGCATAACTAAAGACAACCACACCTACGCCTCCTAGATCTTCAGCGACACCATCCTGCCGCGTGGAACTGTCTTGAGCATATCCTCCTTGAAGCCAAATGGTAACATCTTCATAGGACCAGCAGCCTGCTCATCTGTCTTCACCCAGAAGGAAGCCACCAGGTCATCTTTGCTTGTGTCCTGAGCTCGGAGATCATTTGACAACCATATAGGCACATATGTTAATGGCTGCCAAAAAACTTTAAAGTTCACATGTTAATTATAATTTTAGACAGCTGTGGTAGAACATTTAACATTTTAGACAGCTGCAAAGTACCTTAATTTTCAGCTACCTATGTACCAGACCCATCACATGTCTATGGCACATTGTTGTGGGAAGAACGAAAATGAGAATTATTGATTTCCCTTCCTTGTCATTGACTGTGTTGTATTACTAGCCTTGTATTCAGATCATCCATGATTTATAGACCCTACTGCTGTGGACCAACATTCCATCTGGTCCAGTATGGAAGGTCCATTTGATTGCTGTGTGCTCCTGGATTATCATTGCACTGACAGTAATATGTGTCAGTACTACAATGATCATCTTCTGTTGCCAGTCTAGCGCATGTGTCCTTACTTTCCTGGTGTTCTGATACTTTTTGTACTAGATGTTTTGTGTAGAATAAGTGAAGTTGAAATGTAGATGCCAATAATGTTCTTCAGCTGATGCATACATATCTATTTTTTCCTACCATAGACCCCATTATGGTTTGCAGTGTGCTCACTCAGAATTTAGTCCTGCAGCATTTGCATCATCCTATACAATCATCAAATTCATGTTGCAGATTGTCCTGTTTGTGTTAACCAATACTTGTGCACCTGGGATTATTAGCCCCACTTCTTTGTGATGCACTAGTAACAGCTGGGCAGAGGGAACTCACAATAGGGTCAAATATGAGAAATGCTGGCCAATGAATTATTATGTGATCTATATCGATCAGGAACAGGTATGCGACCATGTAATTGTTTCATGTTATTTTCTAGAACTTGTATCATAGCAATCATTCTTGAAAAGTAAACTTTATCATCATGGTTGTCCATGGAATCTAGCAATCCAATAGTCAAGATTTTGTTGGCATGTGTTGATTCTACCAATTGTCAGGCTATTTCATGGCAGGAATGTTGTACTATTGTTTCTTTTTTGTGAAGGTACTGCTTTGTGTCAAAATTGATACACTCAGCAGTTATCAAATAAAGAAACTTTCTGATCGAGTGGTGACAGACTGATGCCATCCTCTCTCTGAAAGCTTGTGGGTTACATTGTTGCTTTGCTGAATAATGATCAACGGAATGGGGACACTCAGTGCTATTGATCTGGGATCAGATTCTAAATGGGGGAAAGCGTTAGCATTGGTTATCCCAACTCCACAACTAGCTACTAATAGGCATAGGTTTGGATCCTTTTCAATCATACCTCCCTCAGTATCTTGTATATGTTTTGATTTCAGTACCGAAGTGGCTGTCCACAATGCGCAAGGAATGCCTTGGTGGGAGATGCATCACCAATGTTCTCGACTTAACTACAACGCTAAACCGAGCTTTCAGTGGGATCTGTTGGAATAATCAGATCAGCATATACCAAGTAAAGATCAACCGACAAAATTATGGATGGTGTGGACACATTGAGGTGAAATCATGCCAACTGGCTGCTGCTCGATTATAGCCCATGAAAGTGAGGAGCATATACGGGGTGCAGTGATTGGGACCAGGTTCTGCAGACACCAAGAGGGCCCCCATAGTAGTGGTCACGAGCCTGGTCAGATGCACTAAAAGCTAGATTTTGATGGGAGTTAGTGGCTGATAGTTTAGGCAAGCCTATCCTGAAGTTATCCGAACAAAGGATGGAGACTAGACGCCCTTTTCGTATCCTGCTTTTTTCCTTCTGGTAAGCATTTATGCCTGCCTCTTTGGTAGCCTTTCTGTTTGCTGTTACTTCCACAACTTACATTGTGGACCTTGCATCGTCGGCTCTTAAATTTGTTGGCTCTATTATTGGACACCAAGAGCACATGCTTTTACTTTGCTCCTCCAGTCACCGTCAGCCCCTAGTGAGTGACCCATCTGGATTTCCATGTTGATGCGTCTTCCTTGTACACCATTCTTTGCTTGCATGTCACTGTCCTTGGGTAGCATTACCCATCTGATAAACAACTTTTGTGTGTGGCTGGGGCCTGCCTTTCGAGGTTGGCAACTTCCACAAAATCGCAAGGGTTATCGCTGCTTCGGAACTGGCTTCTCTGGTTGGTTTTGGTGTCCCTTTCCCTGGACCCTGCCTTGACTTTAGGAAGCTACCATTATCTTTACTTGCCCTTCACTTCGATTCCCATACTTACCACCTGATTTAGACCTAAATCTAATTTTATGCCCCCATTTAGGTGAGTTTCTGGCTTCTTGCAGCTTATCGCTAGAACATCATTATCCTTTAGATTTTTGCTGGGTGTCTCTTAACTTTTTTGTTGGTTCTTATTTCTTTTTTTCTGCTCATAAGTAATAGTTTCTCAAGCTTTAGAGGACGCCAATTGATCCCATGAATCTCATTGTTAAACGTCTCTTAGATGGTTGAATGTCACAAGTAGGTCTGGCCAGCCCCGACCACTGTTGTTTCTGCCATTGTTCACCTAATGTCTATCCATTTGGAGGAAAGAGCACCTCATTCAGGCTGTGCAACCGTTTCTCTTTCGCTTGCTTGAATGATCAAATTGGCACTTAGCGGGTGAAACAGTCCTGATTTGAACATCTGAGCCTGCTCAGCCATCGCCGTCCGTCCACCCGGACAAGAATTTGGACTTTGTATCAGCGTCATCCTGGAGTCTGGTTTCTTCCAACTCCTCCATCAGCAACTCATTTTTATACTTGTCTCATCTGAAGAAAGTAATGTTGTGCTTATTCTATCCATGGAGTAGGGGTCCAACGTGGCGTAGCCTTGTGTGATTTGTTAGGTTCAGATTTCGCAATCTGGGCGTACAATCGGGCTGTCTGCCTGTCCCTCTTTACCCAATCCATTGGTAGTGTTTGCAAGTTTTCCTCATCTTTCTTTGTCCCTGTCACGTTGACAAGTAAAGACATGGGGCATATTATTCTTTGAGCCCATTACTGAAAGAAACGATTTTATTCCATGTCAATCAGGCCGGGCATCTGGAGAGGGAGATGAATCATTCCATCTTTAGCTCACCACCAAACCCACCGGGTCAATCCACTGAGGTAACCTTTTGAGATAGCTTCTTAATCTACGGGTTACATAGTTTATTTCTTCAATGTGTGCATATTTTGTAGGGGCACACTTAGTGCTGGAGCAATCATATTCCTATCGTATAGGTTGGACTATTAGCTGCTTTATCTGATTCATAGGGTATAAAGATTGTGCTGGCTGCGGATTATGGAGCGCAGTGGTAAAGATAGACTAACTTTATTCGGGGGCAAAAAAAAAAAAAAAGATGGACTAACTTTGCTTTGGCAGGAAATAAGGTCTACTAGCTACCTGGCAAAATCAAGTTGTAGTGCAGCAGATGCCAAGTTTTGTTAAAGATAAACAGGTAATGAGCTCTTCTGGTGTTTGGTACCGCTTTGTCGTGGAACAAGATGATCAGACCACCCTCATGCGCCGGCCTAATCGCTGATTGCCCACCTGTCTGTCTAACCAAGTAACCATCGGTCTGTTTCTTGTAGCTGTGAAGTGTGAATAGCAGTAGCAGCCAAGGGCATATGCTTCCATGGCAGTGACCTCTGCAAGCTGCATTGTGTCTTCTTCTCATCTGAATGATGATGATGGTGGAGGACCGCTGTGTGGAGTGTGGTGTGGGGATTCCGCCCGGTTTTGCTGTTGTCTGCTGCTGCCGGATGCTGAAGCCATGCACCTGCACCTTTCTGCCAGCAAAAAAAAACGTACGCTTTCGTTGCGTTAGCGTTAGGTCTCTGTATTTTCTGGCTTCCTTCAGCATCAGTCCACCTCACTGAGCATCCATCTTTTTCCTTGTTCTCTTGTGCAGTTGTTGTATCATGTTCTACTGCTGCAATGAGAACCTTGCACGACGCATCACTGTTCTGCATTTATTCATTTATGTATTGTTTTAGGGAGAATGCTAGTAAAACTCGGACAATTTTGTGTACAGTTTTTTCCTGGTTTAAAATTGTATTCTTTTTTTGTTGTTGTTTTGACAGGGCTCCAATGCTGCAAGTGGGTTGATTTTAGCATATACTACTTGTGAGTTTCACCATGTTCGCTTGGCTTATAAGCCGTACTTTTCTACCAATGACGAACAGTATTTTTCTCTCATAACAAATCAGTCAACAGTACTTTCAGCCATGACTTATCAGCCAAACGAACAAGGCATTTGTTCTGGAGCTTTCGCCTGGTGTTGCTTTCTCTCCTGTCATCATGTTTGCATGCTTGCAGCAATTACAGGGACGCTGACGGTGGGCATGGAAGGCCGCATAAATCCAGGGAAAGGGACGCGTGCATAATTGCGCACAGCACACACATCTATGATGTATCTACATGCATATAATAGAGCAGCTACTGACGTTTGTGTGCTTGTGAAGTTGTGATCCATGACTGGAGAGCGTGATGGCAACAGTGGCGGCATCCTGGCGCACCGACTGCACCCGC